GGTACGGCTGTCAGACAGGGAGCCCACGCAGGCACCCAGCCAGGTACGGCTGTCAGACAGGGAGCCCACGCAGGCACCCAGCCAGGTACGGCTGTCAGACAGGGAGCCCACGCAGGCACCCAGCCAGGTACGGCTGTCAGACAGGGAGCCCACGCAGGCACCCAGCCAGGTACGGCTGTCAGACAGGGAGCCCACGCAGGCACCCAGCCAGGTACGGCTGTCAGACAGGGAGCCCACGCAGGCACCCAGCCAGGTACGGCTGTCAGACAGGGAGCCCACGCAGGCACCCAGCCAGGTACGGCTGTCAGACAGGGAGCCCACGCAGGCACCCAGCCAGGTACGGCTGTCAGACAGGGAGCCCACGCAGGCACCCAGCCAGGTACGGCTGTCAGACAGGGAGCCCACGCAGGCACCCAGCCAGGTACGGCTGTCAGACAGGGAGCCCACGCAGGCACCCAGCCAGGTACGGCTGTCAGACAGGGAGCCCACGCAGGCACCCAGCCAGGTACGGCTGTCAGACAGGGAGCCCACGCAGGCACCCAGCCAGGTACGGCTGTCAGACAGGGAGCCCACGCAGGCACCCAGCCAGGTACGGCTGTCAGACAGGGAGCCCACGCAGGCACCCAGCCAGGTACGGCTGTCAGACAGGGAGCCCACGCAGGCACCCAGCCAGGTACGGCTGTCAGACAGGGAGCCCACGCAGGCACCCAGCCAGGTACGGCTGTCAGACAGGGAGCCCACGCAGGCACCCAGCCAGGTACGGCTGTCAGACAGGGAGCCCACGCAGGCACCCAGCCAGGTACGGCTGTCAGACAGGGAGCCCACGCAGGCACCCAGCCAGGTACGGCTGTCAGACAGGGAGCCCACGCAGGCACCCAGCCAGGTACGGCTGTCAGACAGGGAGCCCACGCAGGCACCCAGCCAGGTACGGCTGTCAGACAGGGAGCCCACGCAGGCACCCAGCCAGGTACGGCTGTCAGACAGGGAGCCCACGCAGGCACCCAGCCAGGTACGGCTGTCAGACAGGGAGCCCACGCAGGCACCCAGCCAGGTACGGCTGTCAGACAGGGAGCCCACGCAGGCACCCAGCCAGGTACGGCTGTCAGACAGGGAGCCCACGCAGGCACCCAGCCAGGTACGGCTGTCAGACAGGGAGCCCACGCAGGCACCCAGCCAGGTACGGCTGTCAGACAGGGAGCCCACGCAGGCACCCAGCCAGGTACGGCTGTCAGACAGGGAGCCCACGCAGGCACCCAGCCAGGTACGGCTGTCAGACAGGGAGCCCACGCAGGCACCCAGCCAGGTACGGCTGTCAGACAGGGAGCCCACGCAGGCACCCAGCCAGGTACGGCTGTCAGACAGGGAGCCCACGCAGGCACCCAGCCAGGTACGGCTGTCAGACAGGGAGCCCACGCAGGCACCCAGCCAGGTACGGCTGTCAGACAGGGAGCCCACGCAGGCACCCAGCCAGGTACGGCTGTCAGACAGGGAGCCCACGCAGGCACCCAGCCAGGTACGGCTGTCAGACAGGGAGCCCACGCAGGCACCCAGCCGGGTACGGCTGTGAGACGGGGAGCCCACGCAGGCCCCCAGCCAGGTACGGCTGTGAGACGGGGCGCTCGGCCACTCGCCTGACGCCCATCTTGCAGACCTCGCTTACCGCACCGGGGGAGTAACCCCTGCACGTGCGGAGTGGAACCATAATCCCGGCCATTCACGCAGCATGAGCCGTGTCCACTCCAGGCCAAGGCCTCGGAGTCACTGTGGAGCGTTCTCGGAAAACACCCACCCAGGGTGCAGCAGTGGCCAAGAAAGCTAACGGCATGCAGGGAAGGGACAGCTAATAAACCAGTCAGTGTCCTAACGCCGCTGCACAGATCCCTGGTACACCCACACCTCGACTGCTGTGTGCAGGACTAGATGCATTAAAATTGGAGAAGGTGCTTAGGGACAGCAGCCATGGGAGGAGAGATGAAAAACCCTGGAACTGTTCAGCTTGGAAAAGAGACAGTGGGGGAGGGGTATGCTAGAGGGCTCTAAAAGGATGAGTTCTGTGGAGAAAATGATCCAAAAAGCATTATTTATCCCGTCATATAACACAGGAACCATGGGTTACCCAATACAAGTAATAGGCAGCAGGGTTAAAACAAGCCGAAGGAAGAACTACTACTTTCAAAGCACGGTCACCCTGTGGAACTCCTTGCCAGAGGATGTTGTGAAGGCCAAAAGGATAATGGGGTTCCAGAAGCACTAGATAAGCTGTAGTTGGACAGGTCCATCGATGGCTGCTGTCCAGGATGGACAGGGCTGCCCCCATGCTCTGGGTGGCTCTAGCCTCTGCCTGCCAGAAGCTGGGTTTGGACGGCTGGGGACGGATCACGCGATCGCTGCCCTGGCCATTCCTGAGTTCCTATGGCCCTGGGTGCAGGCAGAGCGAGAAGCACGCGGTACTGCCAAGCCACTGAGCAGCTTCTCCTCCCGGGCATGCCAGTCCCAGGCCCTGGGAGGGCCTCCCTGCATCTCAGCCCTGAGCGGGTGGCCGGGAGAAGGGGAGGCTTTTCAGGACGTGGTCCACGAGAGGCTTGTTGGTATTGGGCCCCGCCCTGCCCTACTCGGGTAGTGTCTCTAGACCACCCTGCTGGCAATTCGGCACTCCAGCTGTGAGCCCCCTGCCCGCAGCCCAGCCACGCTGGTGCCAGGCACCTGGACTCTGCCCGCAGGGGCCGCAGTGCAGTGCCGCAAACCCCAGCATCTCCCCTTGGCCTGGGCCCGCAGGTGCTAGGCTGGGCCACGTCCTTCCAGTGTCCGAGTGCTGCCCTGGGGCTGCGCTACACGCGGAGCCGGGCTCCTTTTCCCTTCTAGGCCGCCAGCTCCACCGTTCATGGAGCCTTTTGCTTCTGGGTTCCAGGCTGAAATGGGGCAGTGGTGGGCCTGGGGACGGGGTGGTTTCCATAGACCCTGGAGACTGTCTTTGGCTGAAAAGCACCAGGCGTGCCTGTGCCCCTGCACAAGATCAAACCTGCATTTACAGGCAGCCACTCCCAGAATCCCCGCTAACAGCCCTTGACACTCGCCACCAGCCCAGCCACCTAGCACCCCAGTTCCACTGAGAGTGTCGGAGCAAAGCTTGTAGCCCTGGCAACGTTCTTCTGCAGGGCAGCGAGTGAATGCTGGGGCTGAGGCCACTCCAAGGGGCTGTGCGTGGCTCCCGTGACCCTAGCTCTGAGGCAAGGCATGGGAAGGGGCTGCACGTGGCCCCCATGGTCCTAGCTTTGAGGCGAGGCAGGGGGAGGGGCTGTGCGTGGCTCCCGTGTTTGAGGCAGGGGAGGGGCTGTGCGTGGCTCCCGTGTTTGAGGCAGGGGGAGGGGCTGTGCGTGGCTCCCGTGTTTGAGGCAGGGGGAGGGGCTGTGCGTGGCTCCCGTGTTTGAGGCAGGGGAGGGGCTGTGCGTAGCCCCTGTAGCCCTAGCTCTGAGGCGAGGCAGTGGGAGGGGCTGCACGTGGCCCCCGTGGTCCTAGCTCTGAGGCGAGGCAGGGGGAGGGGCTGCACATGGCCCCCGTGGTCCTAGCTCTGAGGCGAGGCAGGGGGAGGGGCTGCACATGGCCCCCGTGGTCCTAGCTCTGAGGCGAGGCAGGGGGAGGGGCTGCACATGGCCCCCGTGGTCCTAGCTCTGAGGCGAGGCAGGGGGAGGGGCTGCACATGGCCCCCGTGGTCCTAGCTCTGAGGCGAGGCAGGGGGAGGGGCTGCACATGGCCCCCGTGGTCCTAGCTCTGAGGCGAGGCAGGGGGAGGGGCTGCACATGGCCCCCGTGGTCCTAGCTCTGAGGGGAGGCAGGGGGAGGGGCTGCACGTGGCCCCCGTGGTCCTAGCTCTGAGGCGAGGCAGGGGGAGGGGCTGCACGTGGCCCCCGTGGTCCTAGCTCTGAGGCGAGGCAGGGGGAGGGGCTGCACGTGGCCCCCGTGGTCCTAGCTCTGAGGCGAGGCAGGGGGAGGGGCTGCACGTGGCCCCCGTGGCTGTAACCAGCTTGTGAATCTCATTTCCCCTCATCGCAAGCCCTGGGGCTGAACTGTGCAATAGCGGGGAGGGGGGCCCCCGGCCAGTGCACGCTAGCCACGCCCAGAGACTCCCCCCCCGGCCGGCG